TGATGTTACAAAAATGTTTGAAACCAGACTGCAGAGAATTATCCCTACCACCTTTGTGCAACCCCCTTAATTGTATGCCTCCTCATATAAAGTATATAGACGCTGAACTACCAACATCAAACTATTGCAAAGTGATATTTTTGAGCCATAATAGAATGAAATAAATGGAACAAATAAGAAAACAATGACTGACATTTCCTCTCTACATTTTTTCTGCAGCTATACAGCTGACATAAGTCTTCCTTCAATTCCCTCTTCCCAAATAGTACCGCTCTACTACCATTTATGCCACCCAACATTTCACCTTTCCCTTTTCCCCTTAAATCATGTTCCTCTTTCGCTGAATATTCATTGGGTATACTTGCTTTTCTTGTTCCCACACCCTCTTCCCTCATTCTTAGGTCTACACCATTCTCTTCTAGTTACTTTCCTCCCTCACACACAAATAGATGATAGATTTTGAATTCTTAGAAAATATAAATTTCACATTTTACTAAAATAAAACTAAATAGGAAAGTGAAGTGCTTCTGAATCTAGTGAACCAAAACAGCACCCAGAAGCAGAAGCATTTCACATCAAAAAATAGCATCTAATTAACCCTAACCCCAACAAATTCACTCATATTGAGAAAAGGAAAAAGGGAAAAAAAATCCTGATGTAACACAGCTGGGAATTCTTTCCTTCAGAAGGAAATACCAAATGAAGACAGGCTTCACTGTTCGAGACCAGAATATGCTACATTTTCTGTGACAGCTGCATTTCAAACTCCTCCTAGTATTGTTCCAGAAAAGCATTGAGTTTATTTAAAATCTTTTCCGTTAATTTATACTTCACAACTTCCCACACTCTGACTATATTGTAAATGTGATGACCTGACTACTACTGGGGCCTCAATTTGAATCGTTCAGCTCAAATACACTGTACATAATTGTTTCAACAGGCCTACAGCCCAGTGCTCTGGTAGGTACATTTGTTTACTACAGCACCACGCAGAACCTTATGGGGAGCAGCTGGAAAATCATCCTCATCAGAAGAAAAATACTATTGAAGGAGGCAAATGTCTTTAAATCATAGGTATCAATCCCAGTGATCTTAGACTCTTGTAGTTGAAGATTAGGGATTTGTACTTACACTGAGATTTTAGCGTTAAATATTTCTGTGAAGATATTGGCCATACATGTTTGCAAAATAAAACTTTACTCAATGGTCAGAAATAGAGGGGGGCTGAAAACATAAGTTGTGTGCAATCACAGTGAAAGCAAATACCATCTGTAATATTTCTTCTGTCCTCTGCCCCTTTTCCACCCTACAATTAAACCACCACCTTCTCAAAGAATTAAGATAGTCATTCTAGGAATGTGGATTCTAGTAGCAAATAACGTTTGTTAGGATAAAGTACCCAGACAAGGAGCAATAATAATGGCTGGAAAAAAGTCTGTGAAACTCTTAATGAATAGAAGATTCTGTTTGAACTATAGGTATACAAGATGTTCCATTTTTTAAAAAAAACAGAGCATTCCATAAGACATAATTGGCATCTTGATGAGATAAATGTCAAAAGGATCATATTAAAATAAATTTGATAATGGCAGAACATACGGTTTATTGCTCTGGACTGAAATTCTCTTCAGTTTGACCATGTCAAGCAAACCTCCGCAGTTAAAGGGAACGTTGAAAGGCAAAACAATGTAGCAGACAAGGGCATGAGGAACATTGTGATGAGATTTCTGTCCCATTCTGAAGAAAAGATATTAATCCTTGCATTGAATTAAACATATGTGATATTGAAAAAGTCTCAAAGCACTTCATGGGTACTTGCTATCAAAGGTAATGACTGCTTACGGAAGGAAGCCCCACAAACAACAAAGCAGCGAACGACCAATTTTTATCAGGACACTGGAGGAAACTCCCTTCGATGTTTGTGGGACATTGCTGTGCACAATTTGGCTGCCACATTTAATCACAAAATATACAGTCACTCCACATTCAAATTATACTGTGATGTTGCACGATATCAAATGCAACGATATTTGTTTCTGTTTTGAATAGTGTTATGGGAGCTTGGGATCCCAGCATCCATCTGAACATTCAGACTGGACCATGAGACCTTTAACATCTCATCTGAAGGACCGCATCTTAAACAATGGAGTACTTCAACAATGCACTGGATTGTCAGCTCAGTCTGTGAAGGGTAGAAAATAATAAAAATACTTGGATTTGATATACCACCTTATCATGTCTTTGAGAATATATTCTAAAGTGAATTGACTGTTTACTTTGTGGGCAAAAAGCATAGTAACCCCAATTCTTTTAAATAAAATACCTAAAGGACACAAGCAACAACAATTACTTGGATTTACATAGCACCCTTCACATAGTGTTGTGTCAGAAGAGCACAGATATTCCGTAAAAAGTTAAGAAATTTTAAGGTGAAATTAAGTTGAACTACACACAATTTTCCTGCAATCTCTTCAGCAAAGCCATGATTTCCATTCATATCACATGCTTGTTGTTTTGAATACACAATCAATGAGCCCCCAGTTTTATAATGGTGCATAATTGCTCCTCTGACAGTGTAAAGGGCGAATACCAGTTGACCAAAAATGTAATTTGCACAACATTTGAATGGTTGTTTATTCATTCAGTCACAGGCGATTCCCAAACCTACTACTTAATTTGCTCAATCGCCATGGTCTTAAATCTTCAGACAAACCAAAAAGGCTGCATACACATTTCAAGGAAAACCCTGCAAGTAAGAAGAATATTTACATGAGGTTCTAGTACTGTATATGGATCACTCTCACTGATTTGTTTTGATCATAATGACTCTGCCAAGTGTTCTGCATTGGTTCTGCATTCCCCAATCAGAAAATAATCATCTGAAAAGCACTTATTTCCACTTGAATGTCTTTTACTCTCCCCGCCAAAAGAAATCTTTCAGATTTTTCTGCACCCCATGTGGCAACATTCCAGTGTAACCCTTCTCGTGAATAGATGAACTATGTCTCACACAACTTGGGTTCCTACCAGTCAACAAACAGTGCCGACTGTGTGCCCATCCCTCCCACAAAGAAGTGACAATTAATGGAACACAACTGCAAACTCATATCTAGTCTGACACCTCTAGTGGACAGTCTAGTTTATGACTGCGTTATCCATGTGTGCAACATGAACAGAAAAAATCCATAGTCTGTGTCCTTGACACATTAAGACCTGAAGCCTCAGAGTAATTTCCACTTTCAAAATAGACATATAACCAGATCAGGAGTGAATAAGCAATTTTACATTGTACAGAAAGGTGGTATTCTCATTTTACATCTCCATAGAAAACAACAGTTTAATTTAAATGATTTTAGTCAGTGTAAATTCAAGTTAGATGTGTTTGTTTCTGGCCCTTTTTTTATTACCTGTATAGATACTCTTCGACTCATGTCATCTAAATTATCTGGGCATAGATCTGTTCTCAGAACTCTGTAATGCTGTTACAGCCAAACACTTGGCAGTGTGCACAAACTGACACGCTCTCCAATGTTCCTTTTCTATGGCAACTTTCACCATTTTCGTCTTCCACCAAACCCCCCACCCCCACAGTGAATCACACCTCATCAACAAGTTTCTTTTTAAAAAACACTCTGCTCTCCTAGTTTCATAAATTGCAGTTTTCCTCATCAGATGCATTCTTTTTCACACAAATCTAAATGTGGACTCTTCATAGTACAAAAGCACATGACAAAAATTTAAATTGTGAACCTGAGTCAGGCTTTTAATTATTTTTTTGCAGGGTTACTTTTTGTCTGATTCAAATCAAGAATTACGGATCTATTCTTAATCCACACTCTGAACAGACTTGTTATTTTGCTACACTAACATTAGTTTATTTCCTGAAAGAGTTAAAAATGTCTGCTTGTGGTGAAGTAACACTCTGCCAAACCACAAAAGCAGCTCAGTGGCTCCACAGATTTCTGCAAAATATTTAATAAATGCTACAGACTGTTTATATTTTTGTATATATATATACATATAAAAATGTGATATAAGGAAAGCTACAAGGCTCTACTGTCCTTCTGCCAAGACAGAGGGAGTGACAAATGGACGCTACAGCTCTCACTCTCTAATTGTCAAAATCCTTCACGGCTCCACGCATAAACTCTGTGGTGCTGATCGTGCAGCTAAGCAGATAAACCAAGCACATTGGCCTATTCATGTGATGCTGCTCCCCTTTCAGGCTAGGGGCTCAAAAATAGCAACTCTCAATGGAGTTGGGTTTAATCCAAAACCAGTTCTTGCCGAGCAGTAGAAATTCCATAAACAGACCTAACTGGGGAAACGAAAACACATACATATTCTTCTCAATTTCAAAACAATTTCTGCAACCAAAGCAACATTTCCAGATAATTCTGAAGGCTCAGGTTTCTTTTCCTATACTCAAATGGCCATGATTCACACACAATTGCAGAACTGTTAACCCTGAGAGGTCCTTATTGAGGACCAGTTAACTCTTATATGGCTGCCTTAGTATTCGTGGACCAAAATTGAATGGAATTCAACACTTACTGAGAATTCTACGATTGAAAAATGGTGTTGGACGCAGTTGAACAATTTACAGTATGAAATCCTGTACAGCCTACCATGGCAACTCTAATAAGTAGAATAACCAATAAACAAATTTTATGGTAGGGCAGGAATAGTATTTTGACGGATATCCTATAATTAGGTTCTGGGTAAAAACATTGGCAAAATTTCCCCAAACCTGACTCTCCAAAAACTGATTGGAAAAGGGCAATAAATTTAAGAAAGATTTATCCAGTACAAATTACTAAAATATTTGACAGAAAGAATATAGATCTTCTTTATCAACTAAAAATATCCAGGAATTAAAATTCTATGCTGGCATACAAATGATAAATGATAAAAATCTGGACATTTTAAATCTTCAAAACATACAAGGAAAAGCATTCATTTAAAAAGGCATGGTACAGAGAGCTAACAAATATTCTTACCTTCCCTTTCTACAGGATTGCTTCTTAACTCATCTGGCTTCTGGAAGGTGATGCTTGCGTATGCACTCAGATCTTCATCACCAGAGGTACTTGCATGAGGTTGATGAGAGGTTAGAGGCTGTGAGGAGGTCCACTCTGGGTTGTTAAAATCCTTGACCAAGTCCAAATCAATGTAATTCATACCGTTTTCGAAGGCTGTTGAGCTGTTCTGAACCGTAGTGCTTAGTTGTTCTTTGCTGGCAGAAGCCAGAGGCTCCCCTGGTTTGTTAAGCCACACGTTCTCAAAGGACACAGAGCTATGTCGCTTCACATGATCTGCATAAGACTGAGTCACACCAGGCACCTTGGCCGTAGAAGTAAAAGTCTCTGAACTGTGCCGTCTTCTTCCTTGAGGATCAACACGGATAACTTTGGCACCTTGGTTGCGATTGGGGCTGAGATTTAGTACAGTGAAGGCACTCCTCCCTGAAATCTGGTCCATCAGACTTGCACATGCTGCGTTTGGAACACTGTTCAGCGTGTTGGTTTCTTGCTGAGGTAGTACAGACTTCGAAGATGTTGTACCTCCACCGACTGTCATCTCGGCATAGTTGCTCATGATCGGCGTCTCTGAGTAGTCAGCCAAGGTGACAGGAAGCTGCATGCTCACATAATCACAGTTTGCCTGTCCTCTGTCTGTTCTCCAGGTGCTGGAGGTGCAGACGGCACCAGAGACTGGGATGTCTACTGAAGGTTTTGTTACGTAACTAAATTTGGGCAGATCCCTTCTTAAATTCATGTTCATGTACTCAGACATGTATGGCCTTTGTCGAACAGGATGGCTGCCTGTGACTGCAGTGGACTCAATGAGCGACAATGAACTGGAAGAATAGGTTTTGTCACTAAACTCAATATTTACATATTCACCTGGGCTTTTAGGTTCTGGTGGAAGGGGATGCTCTCGTGTCCTGGGGAGCGTGCTCGCCTTAGTGTTATCAAGCGACAGTCTTGTGGGCCGTACAAGTTTACCTTTCTTCTGTAGGCAGGCTTCCCTTTTAAGAGAGTTTGCTGCCTGATGCGCAGCATCATGCCCTCCTATACTGTCACTACTTGTGGAAGAGGAAGAATCCTCTGCATGGAGCAGGCGAACTGAACTGACACAAATTCGTAACCGTGACTCCTCGGATTTTCTGTTCACATGCTTAAAAGAACGAGGCAGAGAAAAGTAGGAATAAACTGGTTTGGGAGGCTCTTCCACTGGATTGAAGAAGCAGTCTGGTGGAGTGCTTGTAGTCGAACCACTTGCAGGAGACATGTTAATGTAATCGCTACAGGACAGTTTCCCATCATTGCTCTCCACTGAAAGTTTAGAATTCCCTCCGTTGGTCCATATTTTTCCATAGTTCACATTTTCCGGAGAGCAACTACCACTAGGTGACATCATCATGTAACCATTTGAATCTATTCGGGAGTGCTGCCGTGGATTAATAATCTGTTGTGGAGCAGACACACTTTTCGGACTCATTGGCATGTAGTCATTTTTATTAGGCACAGGGGCTACTCCAGGTGACATGGGCATGTAACCATCATCCACTTGACTAAAGCGATTGCCTTCTCCCAGGTGAAGATCTAAACACTCCTCGGGGTACGAATGAGTGGGTACAAAAGCAGAATTTTTGCAGGATGATAAACGGCTGCCAGGGAAACATGGGGTCATCTCTGTATACTCTTCTAATGATGCAGAAGATTGGGAAGGGGTCTTCTGGTGTGCCACTGTGGGGGGTGAAGTACCTGCCGAATGCATCCTCTTCCTCAATCCTTTTTCTGAATCGGCCTCTTCAATTTTAGTTGGAGTCCACCTTTGACTGCCCCTGTAGTAGTGACCATTTGGCACCATGTTCGAATGCTTCCCCATGCAGATGTAATTATTTAAGTCCTGCTCCTCTTTGGCAGGGGGAGTATGTCCCAAGGAATCTGGAGTGACGCTTCTGAAGGAATTTCTGAAGTCACACGGACTGGATCCATACTCATCTGAAGAAATAAATCCCCCATCACTGGGAGATCCTGAGATGGATGCGCTGGAGCGCCTAGGAAAAAGGCTGTCAGAAGTGGATCCATGACCACTAGTGCTGCTGGATGATAAACTAACTGGACTCGTGGCTGAAGGGGAACAACGCGTGGATGGCATAGGAATAGATCTGCTGTGATTGAGAGGAGGATGCAGCCTAGAACTACCTCGGTGACGGTGAGAATGTGTCCTTGTGGCACTGGGGCTAACTGGACTGCCGTCAACAGAGGCGGGTCTGGACATGGTGCCTTCGCCATCACTGGAAGCTCGTACCCGGAACGAGTTGTGTTTACCAGCAGGTGAGGTGGCAGTGATGCTCTCGGTCCTGGACCTCCGGCTCAATCCAACCTGGCTCGGGGGCGGGTTGTTCAGATGTCTCCTCAGAGGCACCGAGATCGGGTTGGAACTGGAAGACGACTGACTTTTGCTCCGTGGTCGAAATTCCTCACTCATGGCCTTCATGGCTTCCAGGATGGTTTCGTGCATGTTCTGAGCCACCACAGAATCATCCACCTGCATCCAAAACTCTCCGGGTCCGGTCACGGCGGATCTGCCCACCTCAATGAAGAAGAAATTTTCTGAATGTCCACATCTGCGGATGTTCATGAGCTGCAGGACCACGGCCGCAGCATCCGAGTTGAGCTTCACCAAACTGATGGTCTTGTTGGTCAAACACAACCTGTAAATCCCGACCAGGTTCTTGGTCTGTCCCAAGCCCTTGGGCTTGAGGACCACTTGCCAAACTTCTTTGAAAGCCGGCCCCGGATTCAGCTCTCCGTAGTTTTCTTCTCCCGCGCCGAGGCCCGCCGCCGCCGCCGACGACGACCACGTTGGCGGCCGTCCCGCCACCGTCCCGTTCCCGATCGCTCCCGACCCCGGCCTCGGGGACCTTGCCCTTGTTGTGGAGCTCGACCAGCGCCTGGTACCAACTTTCCTGCTCGCCCTCGCAGTCGGTGGCGATGGCGAAGTACTCGTCCTTGGTGTAGAGAGCCACCAGGTGCTTGTTCTTCGAGTCGGCCCTCTTGTTGATGTTGAAGCAGCAGTCCAGGTGGATCGAGCGCTTCGGGGCACTCGCCTTGTGCCTCCATTTCTTCTCGTTCTCGTAGTACTCCAGCCGGGCCGGCCCCTGCTCGCTCGGCGCCCGCAGCACGAAGAACCTCTTGTGCATGCTCTTGGGTTTCCTCAAGTAGCCCACCTTCCTCACGTCCGAGAAGCTCTCGGCGCTGGGCTCCGGCGGCGGACTCGCCATAACTGAAGGGAAGGGAGGGAGAGGGAGAGGGGGATGGGGGTGGGGGGGGGGGATGGGGGTGGGGGGGGGGGGAGACCCAAGACCGGCCCCGCGCCGCCCGGGATTCAAAAAGAAATGAATTAAAACGGTCTTTCGCGTGTGTTTTTTTATAAAAATTAAAAAAAAATATTTTTGTTTGTTTTTTTTTTTTTTGGGGGGGGGGGCGAGGGGGGGGTGGTGTGGGCGGAGGAGGGGAGCGAACAAAAACCGGGCGGCTGAAGAAATAAAAGCCGCACTTGGGGGGGGGGGCTCACTCACTCACTCCCGAGGAGCGAGTTTCTCTCACTCAGCTCCTGCGACGGTTATTTTCCGCCTGGAAAGCTGAAGGCGCGAGCGAGGCGAGGCGACTAAACCCCAAACCACCGCCCCCCCCCCCCTCTCCCTCCCGCCCTCCCTCCTCCCCCCGACCAACCGCCACCCTCCTCCTCCTCGCGGGCTCCGCTCGAGCTCCTGCTCTCGACATGTGGCCCGCGCACGCGCACGCGCTCTAACTCTCCTCCCCTCCTCGGAGGAGGGAGGGAGGGAGGGGAGGGGGCGGGGCCAGAGACGCACCACCGTACGCTCCGTAGCCCAAAGTCCACCAAAAAGTAGCCCCGTCTTTCTCGCACGCGTCGCGTTCTTCTTTTAGGAGCGGAGGAGCCAGACACGGGGTCGGGTTTTAGCGGCTTTTTTTTCTCTCTCTCTCTCCCTCTCTCTCTCTCTCTCTTGGGAACTGCGTTAAGTTCGACTTCGGCGTTTCAGAAAGTGAGAGCGAGAGAGAGAGAGAGAGAAAAAAAACACACGTTTTTGCGTATTTTTTTATGTAACGATGAAATGTTATAAAATTAGGCGCCCGCCCGCCCGCCCGCGCGCGCGCAAGTCAGTGCCATGACCCCCCCCCGCCCCCTCCAAAAAAAAACACACGCCCAATTGGGCGTGAAACCGCCCAAACTGGCAACGTTCGACACGAGGCCCCACCCCCCTCGCCCCGCCCCGCCCCGCCCCACTGATTGGCCGCCCGCTTTTGTTTACGTTCCATTTCCGAACGCTGTGTCGACCCGCTCGCCCGGGCGGGCTGTCAATCACTGCCTCCGCGCCCCCCCCACCCCACCCCCACAGCTCAGACAGACAGACCCCTCCGCCCTGCTCCCAGCCAGACCCCGGTCAGAGAGGCGTAGCCCCCCACGACCACCACCATTCACTCTAATAATTTATAACGCGGCACCGAACGAGAGAGAGAGAGAAAGAGAGAAAAAAAAGCACATTGCTCACTTGTAGCCCCTCTCTCCCCCCCCCCTCTCTCTCCCCCCCCCCCTCTCTCTCCCCCTCCCTCTCTCCCCCTCCCCCTCTCCAAGGTGTAATTTTTAAAAATAATATATATATATTTTTAAATCCCCTCCTTCCTTGTGCACTCTCCGCGCAAATTCTCCGTTGACGATCTGTGCACCAGACGTTGCAAAGCTTCGCAAATCCCACTCCCTCCCCACTCCCCCCCCCCCCCCTCCCCACTCCCACCCCCATCGAGGGGCAATCACCCCCATCGAGGGGCAACTCGCCTGCGCTTCTCTCCTTCTCTGCGGTCTGCTCTGCGCTTTCTGTCAGTGTGTTTTAAGGATTTAGAAACAGAAATGTCCCGAATTAAGATGTGCTGCAATATTTGCTGCAATTATATAACTTTCAGGGGATTAGAAAAGACTTGGGGTGGGGGGTAGAGTTGGGGGTGGTGGGGGGGGGGTGCGGTGTGTGATGGGGTTTGGGGGTGGTGGGGGGGTGCGGTGTGTGATGGGGGGGGGGGGGGGGGGGGGGGAGGTAAGAATTTAAATCACAGGAAGTATCATCGGGAAAGAATGCAGTTTCATCCCTTCTTATTGATTTTACTGTGAACGTCTGTCCAGACGTCTGGAAGAAACGATGTGTCTGTCGCACACTGGCGCTGCAGATTCAGGTTCCCAATCGCAGTCTCCGTATTCCTTCCTCTGCATCGCACGTATTCCAGGTGTCATCACAATTTTCTTTCCATTTTGCAGACGTCAAAACCGCACACACACACACATATATATAAATATATGCATCGTCCCGTAAATCTGATCCACTCCCGAAAAATTGCAGCCACTGCATTTAAAGAGAGCCAAACCCCAAACGGGCTCGGGTTAGGATCGTGCACCGTGTGTGTGTGTGTGTATATATGTATATACGTATATAAATATATATTTTTTACAGCTCCCTCTTTGCTCGATTTCTGTCTTCGGGGCATGTAGTGAGTGCAGTGCGGTGTAGTGGATCCGTGCACTGTTGTAAACAACATCTGTGGTGCAACAGCAAAGCAAAAAGCAAAGCAAAGCAAAGCAGTCCCCTGGATTATTATTCTTTTTTTTTGCTGGCCAGTGGGGGGGGGGGGGGGGGGGTTGTTTACAGCAAGCTTTATCAGGGTTTTATTCGTATTTCAAACTTTTTAATATATATATATATACACATAAAAAAAAGATACTGATTGCATGCTGACATTTGGGATAGATTTCACTCGTTTTTCCTTCCACCACCAATGCAAAGATCAAAGATCATGTGTTTGCCCTCTCTCAATTCAATCAAAGGGCAAAAGGAAAATAAATAATTGATACCAAATAGAAGCCACAGTCTGCTCGCGTTAGTCTGGGTGCAAGTGATGCAGTGTCTCGCCAGGTCTCACTGCCGCAGCCGAGGTGTAACCTTCTCCAGACTGGCATCGCTCTAGCGCCACCTAGTGCGGACCTGCAAAGGCAGCACCAAAGGGTGGGGTGGGGGGGGGGTGCTGGGGTTGGTGGGGGGGGGGGGTGATGGGGGGGGGGGGTGATGGGGGTGGGGGTGGAGCACTATATTTTGGTCAAAAGGTTGGAATTTTGAGTGCTAATCTGCCCCCCCCCAAAAAAATCTGTTTATTCCTAGAAATAATAATAATAATAATAAATAATAATCCCTCCAAAACCCCAAAACAATAATAAATCGGTCATTTTCAATCTACGACTGTTTGTGGGACATTGCTGTGCGCAATTGGCTGCCGCGTTCGCCCACAAATACACAGTCAATTCACTTTACAGTGTGTTCTGTGAAGCGCTTTGGGACGTCCTCCCGACGTGAAAAGCGCTATATCAAATGCAAGGATTATTATTATTAGAAGTTTTTTTTATTTCAACTCAATTGTTCTCTATCCCGCGTCGATTTCCTTACACTATCGTACCGTTCTTCTCAGTCAAGTGAAATAGCAAAAAAAAATTACTAAATGTTATGAATCAATTAATATCTCTAAATGTTAGATGGTGGTGGGGTGGGGGTGGGGTGGGGGGGGGTGTTTCTTCAAACGAGTCCTCCAAAAATTAGAATCAAAACAATTTTAAGTTTTATTTCTGGCCTTGCAGATGGATTTTCCATTATCAGCACTGAATAAAAAATTGGCATCAGTTAAACAGCAGATGCTATTGTGTCTTTGTGTCTAGAAATCATTGGCAAGTATGTTCCGTTCATGCCGTAGCCTGTAAAACTCGGTTGTTAGTCGATTGGTGGATCGCTTTCCAGGGATAACAGTCCCTTTAAAAAAAATTTGGTCACTCAATCCACGACTGTTGTGAGACACTGCTTTGCGTAATTGTCTGGCAAGTTTCTCCCACAAAATACAGTCAATTCACTTTACAGTAAATCCTGTGAAGCACTTTGAGATGTCTCAACGATGTGATATCAAATATATATAAATATATATCAATATATATAAAAATATGTGATATATGTGATGCACCATATCAAATGCAAGAATTATTAGAAATTCACTGTTGGGCATGTTCTGACCTCTGCAGAGCAGGAAAGTTCCCCTTCTGGCTGTTTACTAACTTCAATGCTCTGGCTTGAGAAGGGGACAAAATTCTGAGTCTTAAAGTCATGGTAACAAAATGGTGTTACATGAGCAGTCTGGAATATCTTACCTTAAAGAGGGATTGCCACCTTATAATAATCATCATCCTTGCATTTGATATTGCGCCTTATCACGCCGTTGAGATGTCTCAAGACTTTCAACCTTTAAAACCCTGAGGACTTTAAAGAATTATGTTAATTTAGAAGGGATCCTGATGATGAGGCTCCCTGTTTAAACTTAAATTTAAATCTATCTTATTTTTATGGTTCTATGTACGCAATAATCCAGGTAGATTCCCCCTTGGCAAGTTCTATCCCATTCATGGAGTACATGCACCTCCTATTCTTACTTTCTACATGCAATACCTTGTATTTATCATTCTTTAACAAGCCAAATAGTTCAGGCACATGTTGTACGATAAGTCTTCCTTTAGCTTACACACAAAAACACTTTTCTCCTGAGTTTGGTTTTCAATCCAAACCAGTAGCAACTGCAAAAAAGGTACTTAGCTTCCCCACAAACAAACCTTAAACATAGACTGTACCATGAGATTTGCAGTACAGACTGATTAGACTCAACTAATCTCACACTGGTCATACAGTACCTTGCCAAACCTCAAAATTCACTTGGGGAAAAGAAAGCAATATACATTTCCAGTTTCCCCTGATTATGAAATAGCCTTATTCATTTTCTTATTAAAATTACTGGAAAATCTGACACATATCTCTAGAAAAGAAAATGTCACAATTTATTCTTGGTTTGGAAACCTATAATTTCTTGCTATGGGACCCAAAGCTATGTCTCCAGCTTCCATGCCAACTGGCTGTCTTTAAACTTCTCTAAGACAGGGTCACTATAATGGGCAGACCAGTCACTGTGGGCAGGGAATGCTCCCACTCAGCTCATATTAACCCTGCAAGCCATGGCCCTTACAGGTAGGGTGGTTCTAGCTGGACAAGCATCAGGAAAGCTTGCCTGACAGTAATATCACTGGCAAGCTATGCAGTTTTAGCTGGTTACACTCCATAGGTACCTCAACACATACTTCCAAGCCTTGGCTCTTGCCATTCTGCATCTAATACTTTCCAGAATTGGGTAAGCAGGATGCATCCCTCCAAGGAGAGAGACC